AAACAAGAGGTCCACCAGAAGTCCCCCTTCTTCTACACACGTTCTGACACCACACATCAAGAAGACTGCTAACAGTAAATCGCTGAGTGGCTGCGCTGCAGTAGTGACATAGTTACGTCGGACAGCAGTGTCGTTTTGGCTGAGTTCCTCTCTGTCACACACACGTTAAGGTCCAAGCAGCAGAGTTCCTATTTGACTCCTCTGAACCTCACTGTCCAAACATTTGACCAATTGTTTGTGACGGAGGACTAAAACCCCTCTTACCTCTCCATGCTTGGACTTTATCTGTGTTTGAACTGATGCAAGAAACCTGCAGCATTATTGAGCAGGAACTCTACCAATCGATCCTGCATTGTCCTGCACCCCTGGTTCTCCAGTAGTCAATGAACCAGTAACCTTAAAACTTTCTGTTCACTATATTAAAGACCCATTTTTGTCTTTTAAGTTATTCTTCCTCTGCATTTACACAAATACTACGCGTTTTGGTTGGTTGAAAAACCAGAGTGACTTTGGGTCTTTCTATTTGGCCAGTTATTTAAATTCCTAATTTCTAATAAAAGTGTCTTTTCTTGCGTAAGCTTCTGGACATGTAAATGCTGTGGAAGACGACTTGTTACTGGTTTCTCCTTCTATTCATGCAGTGTGTCTCACAGCTTATCTGCATTAGATTTGTTTTCTGTTCTGTGAGTTCATTCAAACCTAAACGACGAAACAGAAAGATAAGTGCAGGAGCTCCTTGTTGTTTGTCTGCTGACATTAGATCTAAATGGTGCTTTACATCTGTGAAACTAAGTCTGCACCATCACACTCGCTGTAGCTGTGACGGCCGGCAACAAGCTGAATAAACATATAACTGACCTGCAAATCACTTCTGACTTCCTGTTGTCATTTGACACTTGTGAGGGCATCATGACAGGATAAACACAGAGACTAAGGAGAAGACGTCACTTTAGAGTTGTTCCAGTACCAGTATCAGAAATTCATCCAATACTGCCTAAAATTGAAGGCTGCACAGATATACTGGTTTCAAGGTATATTAATGGTGCGTTCCAGGCAACCCGTAACTCGTGTTTTCACAACCTGTAACCCGTGAAAGTGCCCTGGAACGGCAGTCAAACCCGTAACTTCCCACCCGTGAACTCGTACCATATCGATGTACTCCCAGTTACGCTTTCTGACGTCACACAGCCCTCTAATCCAATTATCTTACTCCTCTAAATAACAATGGCAGCCCTATGGATGCGGTGTTGATGCAGGTGATACATGGTGAGAAATAGACATAAAATAACCCTAATGTTAACATTGGCAGCCGCTCTAACAGCTGGTTTCCAGTGCAAGAATAATCAATACAAAATACGTTTCCAAACACACAGATAATGTAAAATAAAAAGTATAATAGTATCTGTGACCTTGTGCACTGTTTTCCTCCTCCGTTTCGCTCAAATGAGCAAGGAGCAGGCACCTTTGGTGATAGAAATATTGGGGAAGCACAAACATACGGTTCGCCATGTTCAACGTTAAACAGGAAGTAACTGGCAGTTTGCCGTAACTTTCCTGGAATGCTACAAAGTCGTAACTCGTGACTTGAAGTCGTGACTTACGAGTTCAAAAGCCTGCCTGGAACGCACCATAAAATTGATGGTTATCTTATGGAGTATATCTGCTTCTCTGCGAAACTGTGGAAAAAAATGCAACTGGACAAAAAAATCTCAATTTTATTTTAGTTATTTTCAAAGTTGAAACTTTCTGCACAAACTTCCATTAACAAAATGGTTTCAAGTTTAAGTTATAGTAATAAAATGTCTGTTTAACCGAAAATAACCCTTTCATTTCAGTTCCTTCAAGGCTCATTCTGACTGATAATATGAATTCTGTGATACCATGAAACTGCGATTTTTTTATGAGATGGTTACTGACCATGAAACTCTCATACTGTTGTAACCCTACTGAAACTCTGAATAGGGGATTGGCGAGTATGAAAGTCTGTGCACTGGTCTATCTATATCTATATATATATATATATATATATATATATATATATATATATACACACATATACATATACATATATTTAAATATTCCAAAAAAAAAAATAAATCAAATAATCTTTCAAGTAGTTTTGCATCAGGACATAACAGCAGTTTTCCCAGCTACTGTTTTAGGGTGGCCATGAAGCATCAGTTGCTGGTAAATATTTCAACTTTAGCAAAATGTTAAATTAAACAATTGAAGATTGCTCTATGCCGTTCATATTTCTACAGAGGGTTTAACCTGAGCCATGCCATACAACAACCACAGCAATATTTCACGTCCATACAGGGTCAGCAGCAGCTGTTAATTCCTTTTTTGTAACACAAAGATTTGGATCGGTACTCTGTATCAGCCGACATGCAAGTTCATATCGGGATCAATATTTATATATATCTGAACATCTTTATGTGTTTGAATTATGTGTCTATGTGTCGTCTAGTTTTAGACCAATCAGCAAACGGATAATTACATATTCAATCAAGATGTAAACACAAAGTTCTTCTATTATAGGAAAAATACACTTTAAAGAGGCTAAAACAAATATTTTCAAAGGGAAATCATTCAGTTTGGTTAATCATCTGTGTGTTTTTAAAGTCTTTAATGTGACCTTAGATTGTAAAATTGCGGTAACTAATTAAATGAGTGTGTATTTATGTCATAATAATCCAAATTCCAATCAAAGAAGTGAAGAAAGATTCAATGAATAGCTATAGCTCAAGGGATATGATGACTTGTCAGGCTGAATCTGAGACTGCTGAAGACGGTGAATATTTTCCATGTGTGATTTTTGCGTTATCTGAGTTTCTAAACCTTTTCCCTGTGAAACACTGAACAACAAAAGCAGCTCAGATATTCTCCTTACTTACAGCTCTCAATGTCACAGTAACGACACACAGCGGCACTGCACCATTTCCCATCATTCCATGTTCCTGGCACAGTGACTGTAGCTGTAATGTGTTGGTGCCTCGCCTCGGCAGGATCATCAGTCACCGGCCTGACACCCAGCTTCCCTCCGAACCCTTAAGAAACACAGAAGATGCAGCAGTTTTCCAAATTTGGATTTGCCGCATGTTGTGAGTGTAACACAAGAGCTCAGAGTACATAATAATAAGTGTTGTGTAACCGCCCCCTGTGTTCCCCACCATTTAACATATTCAGAGTGCAAAATAAACTTATAAACAAGACATAAAAAGGTCATATTTAAAAAAAAAAAAAAAAAGTAAATAATATAAGGTACCATGGACAAGTGTGGACAGGGGAACATAAATCACTTAAATCTTATTGTAGATACAATAAATACAGTTAAATTGATTAAATTAAATATGAATACTGTAAAGGCCTGGTGAATATGCAAAATAAAATATAAGAGCAAACAGGCCTACTTTGGTATTCTTAACATGAGTGCTTTCATCACTGAAATGTTGTCTTTTTTAGGTACTTACTTAAAAATGAGTAATTTCTATTTTAATTCAAGTAGATTTTCAGTTGATTTACTTTAACTCAAGTTCTGTACTTAATTACAGTTTTGAGGCACTTCTACTTTGCTTGAGTGTTTCCATTTTATGCTGCTTTACACTCCCACTAAACTCAGGCTGGTGGGTGTTATTCAGGCCGATGTCAGTCATTAGCGACACCTCTCACCCCTTGTATGAGACTATGGCTGCCTTAATCAGCTCCTTCAGTGACAGACTGCGACACACAACACAGTGCATGTCTGCAAGTCCTTCATTCCAGCATCAGTTAGACTTTTTAACATGACACCATCATATCATCTTAAACTCTTTGTCTCTACCTCCATTCAGTTATCCTCTGCAACTACAAATCATGGACATACAGTATCTCTATAAGTGAAAGATGCATATAGTCTAATTTATGTATATATGTGTATATATATATATATATATATACACACACACACACACACACACACACGTAAATAATATCTTGTATCAGTCAGTTTTTTTCTTTTTTCTCTTGCTTCTGATTCTTGAGCTGCTGTAAAATATAAGTGAAAGGTTTTTTCAAATCTAGTTTGTGTTTTGTAATATTTGCATCCTTCTTTAGCACTCAGTCACACAGTCAAATATAAGTGAAAGGTGTATATAGTGTATACAGATTTTTTTTATTATTTTATTCTATTTTTATTTCAGCTAGATTGTATTTTTGTAATATTTTTATCAGTCTTTTTTTTTTCCTTTTTTTCCTCTTGCTTCTGACTCCTGACCTGCTGGAAAATATAATATATTTTTTATCATTTTATTTTCAATTTATCTAGTTTGTATTTTTGTAGTATTTTTGTCCTCTTTTAGCACTCAGTCACTTTTCCCTTTTGTCTCTTGCTTCTGACTCTTGAGCTGCTGTAAAGTTGAAAGTGAATGGTGTATATTTTGTGTATAGATATTGCATTATTACATTTTATTTAAATATTATCTAGTTTGTATTATTGTAATATTTTTATCCATTTGTAGCACCCAGTAACTTTTTTCTTTTTCACTTGCTTCTGGCTTTTGAGCTGCTGTAAAATATAAATGAAATCTATCATTAATTAATTTTTAATTTTATTTAGTTTGTATTTGTGTGATATTTTATCCTCTCTGAGCACTCAGTCACTTGTTTAAAAAATTATTCATTTATTCATGTGTTGCTTTGTCTCTTGCTCCTGACTCCTGAGCTGCTGTCACGTGTCAATTTGGTGTGGGATAAATAAAGTTTTCGCTTATTTGAAACAGTTGCTAAGCTAACTTAGCTATCTAGCTAACTAGCAACCTAGCTTGTTAGCTAGCTATCTGCCGCTACAGTTAGCTTACTGACTGGACGTTATAGTACAAAAACACCGCTGTATGAGACTCATAAACTATCAAAACTCTCTCTAACACCTGCAGAAGGAGCTCAGACTGTATTAAAAAATAATTTTCTGTTACCTCCAGATGGCGGTAGAGGCTAAACAACGCTACGTTAGCGGTGTTGCTAACTACTTCCTCCGGTCAGAGGACACCAACATGGCCGCAGCCTTGTGTCGATAACGTTCCTGTCTCAATGTTAACGTTTAAATAATTTCATTAACACACTAACAAACCGCACTTGTGTCCACACTTCGACGCCGACATGTTCCAGGTCATCAGCGGGAGGAGCGTCCCTGCGGCCCGGCTCCTCGCACCCAGGAGCGCCGTGCTCGTGGAGGCAGTCCGGGGCAGAAAGTCCCGCACCGACCCGGTGGCCAAGTCCAAAGAGGGCCGAATCAAAGTGCCTCCTCCGGTGGACCCGGTGGAGATGGTCGTCCTCAAGGAGAGATACTCGGAGTACCAGCTGATCACCAGGGCGCTCCGGTACGTTTAATAACCAACTGGTAACTAACGTTAACGGAAACATGTCGGAGGTTAACGGGTCAGCAGGTGGTGTGGTAAATTATGTTTCCCTGATTTAAATCTGCCACCTGATAAATACTGGACCGGAAACTGGTCCCTAAAACTGGCAACATTTATTCTTTAATTAGTAGATACTAATTACTGGCAGTTACCAGTTTGTTGTGCTTGTTCTTAACTTTATTTCTCGTGAGTCCTCATTACATATTCACAGGTTTTACTGGAATTAAACTGGCAGCTGATTTCCACCAAACACTGTGATAGTATTTGTCTCATTTGCTTCACAACCAAAACAGTTTTGTGTTTAAATTTTACAGGTAAAATCTTGTATTAACTGTGACTCTGCGGTGGCTCATGCAGAAAGGAGACAGGCTGTACTGTGACACTGACATCTCGGTGCAGTGCTCCTCCATCATGCTCACACATTCACTCTTACAAAAGTTTTAAGGGACTATTTAAACTGTCACGTTAGATTTGTTCACATTATTAGGCTTTTAGAAAGGCAGTGCATCTATAGTTTTTTTTTTTTAAAACTAAGTGTTATGGTTGCAACGGTATGAGATTTTCATGGCATGATAACCTTCTCTGCAGGCTCACAGCATCATTTATCACATAATTTATATTATCAGACAGAATGAGCCTTAAAAGAATGAAAACAGAAGGGTTATCGTTGGTTAAAATAACGTTTTACTATAACTGAAACCATTTTGTTAATGGAAGTTTGTGTAATAAGTCTCCCCTGAGAAAATAACTAAAATAAAGGGGAGATTCAACATCCAGGGTGTCTACAGGTCCTTAAAAAAGTCTTAAATTAATGTCTTAAATTTGACCAAAATAAAAAAAATTGATGGGTCTTAAATATTTTAGGTCACATTATCTTGAATATGTCAGCAGCCCCACAGACCCAGTGACAGTTTACAATCACTGGACAGACCAGAGAATTGCAATAATAAACAGCATTTATGACAGTGATGAGATTTCAGACAAAACAAGCTGTTAATATGATTTTCATTTTTAAATTTGTGATGAGCATTTTCACTATTTTCTGACACGTTTTAGACCAAATTGTTAGGCCAAACATGAATAATTTAAATAATAGAGAGCATTCTGCATACTGTATACTCATTTTGGTAGAATTTTCAAATTATTATTTTCCTTAAAAAATACAAAGGCAACATAACTTTTCTGTGATGTCACCTCTGTAGATACTCCCCGTGTCTGTAACTGTCCAATAAACATAAATAAATGTTTCGGTTAGAACAAAAATAATGGAAACAATTGGTGGTTGGAGCCCTGATATAAACTGAATAATTGAAAAAGTAATATTCCTTTAAAATGATTCATACATCACTGAAATATAAACTGCAGGTGTCCTCTGATCCAGCAGGAAGACGTCCTTTGACTTCACCTGTTCTCTCCTCTGTGTTTGTCAGTCTGGAGTTTAAGGAGGAAATGCTGCGGAAGAAGTACGAGGAGGAGACAGGCTCCCTGGCAGAGGAGAGGGCGAGGCAGGAGGCGGAGGAGCATCGCACCCTCATGGCCTTTAACGACCAGGAGAACCTTCGCATGCTCAAACTCAGGTAGGAAGAAACTCAATATTACAACGGGAAAAATAAAAACCTCTTCTGAAGACTCGATAAGCTGCTCTATGTTCCGTGTGTTGTTTCCATCTGTGTGGTTGAACACTAAGAGCTCAGTGTCTCGTCTGTATCTTTCAGGGTGGCGAGGATCCAGAGGGAAAAGGAGGAAGCTGAGCAGAAGAAGCTCGAAGCTGCAATTCAGCGCGAACAACAAGAGCAAGAACTCATCAAACAAAGAGAGGAGGAGATTTTGAAACTGCAGGTACGATTTTTCTTCGTCCTGTTTTCTCCTCCAAACTGTGTGAAATGTTAACCATCAGTTCTTAAACCTACTTTTGTGAGCTGCTGTCGTCTACAGAGGAGCAGAAACCTGAAATTCCATATTGAAACATGCTAAATCTGACCTGTCGCTTCCAATCTCTTCACAGGAGGACGCAAAGAACTTCATCACCTTGGAGAACTTGGACCAGCGTATTGAAGAAGCTCTGGACAATCCAAAGAATTACAACTTTGCTATCGACAAAGGAGGACAAGTTGTTAAACAGACAGTGCTGAAGTGAAACACCAGACAGACAAAGACAGACGGACATCTGTCAGGACTGTGACAGGCAGATTTTCCTCAACTTCAAACACAGAAAACATTCAGCGTCAGAAGACGACTGTACCGGTTAACCTGAGCTATATCTGAGACTTCTTCATCAGCTGATAACTTGTAGATTTAAGTGAAGATCGTTGATGTAAAGCTTCATTTCCTGCCTTCGTCTGTCATGTTTCTGCTTCATATTCTTTATGTGAGTGCTGAACCGTTTCATGTTCTTTTGATCATTACTGTCTTCTCATGATGATGTAATGTGTGTAAAGTAAATTAATGTTCATCAGTTTTCATTAAATTAGTCTGAATCTTTTTTCTAATAGTATCACATGAAGATAAGATTTCTGTTTTTACTTATCAAGATATCTATCTATCAATCGATGCATTAATGTGTTCATCACTTTAATGTTACAGCAGGTATTGTTTAACCAGAAACAGCCCTGAAATCACCGTCACCAAACCCACCAGACTGCATTTAAATAAACAGTCATTTTATCATCATAAAACATCTTTCCACTGTTCCAACAATCACCAGCCCTGGTTTGGTTTAAATTAACCCTTAATTCACCAGTTAGATGTGACAACATGCTGCCTCTATACACACTAACATGACTGTTTATTTAAATGCAGTCTGGTGGGTTTGGTGACGGTGATTTCAGGGCTGTTTGTGGTTAAACAAAAAGGATTTTACTCTTTAACACAAAGCTCTATCTCTGTAGGGATCCTTTCATCATGTTGTCACACACTTAGAATAACAATCTGAGCCTGTCAGTGACAAAAACAAACACTGAGTTGAAAAATACCAAATTTATCCTTTAAGGGGTCACAAGGCAAAACTGTTTGGAATTAAGGGGCTGTTCATTACTAATGAGAGGGGAGGCATGTCAAATAACTTTTTCAAGCACTGGGGCGTAACTTATGTTATTTATTCTGTCTTAGGGGAGGGGTATACAAATTTAAATAGTTGTATTCTGTATTTATATTTTCTTTAAAAATCAGTTTTTAAAAAGTGATTTTTTTTAAAAAAAAAAGTTTTCTTTTTACAATTTAAAATGCTTTTTTTTCAATTTTGGATTTTTCGACGCAATTTTTTAAAAAATATTTCTTTTCCATTTTTAAACTGCCTTAAAAATAGATTGTTTTTAAAAATCTAATTTTTAAAAAAGTTTTTTGAATTTAATTTTTTTTTTAATTATTGAATTTAAAAAAAATTATATTTCAAAGATTTTCAAAGTTGTTTTAGAAAACATGTGTTGTGGGTTTGGACGGCATGTTTTCCTTAAAAATTACATTTTAAAAAGTAATTTTTTTAAAGGTTTTTTTTTTTTTTCAAATAAAAAAATCTGATTTTTTTTTCAAAAAGCTTTAAAACATGATTTTTAAAGAAAAAATGCCTTCCAAACTTTGTCTTTAAAAAAACAACTTTTCGAAAAAACACCTTCCAAACTGAAAGCAAATTTTCTTTAAAAATCGCCAAAATTACACCATTTATCACAGCCAGAAACTGTAAAACAGAAATTATTGTGGGGTTTTCAAGTTTTAAATTTCGGTCAAAATGAACCAGTTTTATCTTTAACATTTAACTTTCAAACATCAAAGGGTACGTTTTAAAAGTCTAATAACTCATTTATGGTGGAGGGAGGGTCATGGGTTTTCCTCCAGTCGCTCAGGGAGGGTCAAGGGAAAATATTTGGAGCTTCAAGAGGATTACAAAAAAAAATACAAACAAAAAACAAAGTCATACTCCAGCCACCTCCTCTGATAAATAAAGAACCGTCCCTAAGAGAATTTAAAAATGTAACTTCACACAGTTTCTGATGAATAAGTCTCTGAGACACAGCTCTGTTATTCTTCCTCTCCTTTTATTGGGTGCAGCGGGAGTGATTACATCAGCATACAATGGTTGTAGTTTTTTGTCTTTGCCCGATAATATCTATGTTCTGACCCTACATGACTATTAATAACAACACATACAGACTAAAGCTACACACTACTTTAAACTCCAAAGCTCTTGAAACTGACGCTAACAAACAAAGTGTTGCTCCTCAGCACCTTGATATAAGCAATAAATACATTCACAAAATATTGAAACCGTGGAGGCAAAACCGTTTCAGTGAGCAAGAATACTGACCAGTTATTAATGTAAAAAACTTCAGTCTAGGTAATAATTAATGTTTAACACTAAGGCACCTGAGTCTCTTCTGTCCCAGTATGAAGTCCCAGTAAAGACCAGTAAGATGTCCACAGAGCTGCGTTTGTTCCTGTTAATGCCTCCGTTAGTAAATGTGTTAAAGCTAACGCTAACACCTCAGGTAGTTCTGAACCTGTTTGTTCCAGACTGGTTATAAAAATAAAAATAACACCTCATTCATAACGTGGAACATTCACAACACTCAACACTATTCTGTAATAAAAATAAAGCATTAGCTCACATTAGACTGAGAAAAGAAAAACATAAGCACTTGAATATTCAAGTATAATAACTCAGATATAAAAACACACATTCACTGCAGGGGACACTGTTGGCTTCTGTCATGACTCTGAATCAGACCAGACGTGTGTGTGGGGGGGGGGGGGGTCCACGCTGGTACCTGAAAACAAAAAGCTGTCTGAGCTTGTGAGGTGTGTTTTTATCCCTCCAACCTCCAGGTCTCAGAACTGTTGTGACATTATTAAGGAATCTGGTTATTTAGCTGTCCGGGGTATTTCTCAAACCTCCTCTCTGCCTCCTCACTGAACGCATCACCTGTAGGGACCAAAAAACAATCAGTTTAAATGTTTAAATAAAAAAGACAAATCTGACATTAAAGGGACAGTTTGGATCTTTTGAAGTGGGGCTGCATGAGGCCAATCGGCGAAGAAAAAATCTGGCAACGTACGTTTCTGTAAACCACAGAAACATTACATTTGTACGTCATTATGTAGAAGATACAACTTCATATTTCAACAACACTGTGGTACAAAAACACCTGGTTATGATGAGGAAAAGATCAAATTTTGGCTTGAAATACCAGGTTTTGGTGGCACAGTGCGCGCTGGAAACACAGCGTTGTCTCAATCAAAAAAACACTTTTCATGCCACTATGCCAGCAGGAAACGCTGCAATGTCACGGTAAAAAACAACCTTCTGCGCCAATAAGCCCAAGGGAAACAAAGTGATGTTTCAGTGAAAAATAACCATGTTTTGTGCCATTATCCTGGCAGGAAATGCGCAATGAGTAAAAAACAATGTTGTCTCGGTAAAAAACATCCACTTTTCGTCCACCAAAATTAGACAATAACACAAACAAAGTAACTGATGGAGGCCGCAGTCGACCTATAACTCCTGTGTTCTGCTGCGTAAAATAACTGTTTTGTCAAAGGAGTCTGGTGACTTTGAAGACAGATAGATAATGGCTTCAATTCTCCATCAGAAGAGCCTTCTGACAGCCAGGTAAAGCCGTGAAAATATTCTAAACACAGTGTACACTTAAACTGATGCTGGTTTTCTTAGGTGGCTAACATGCATTTTGCTGCTGCCCCTGTTCACAGCAGTTTACAGCTGAGCTTCTTGCTGCTGCTGTGCTCCTGCCTGCTTGTCCAAACTGAAGGAGGATTTTGAAACCAAAGTGAGGGGTCTGGGTGTCCTCCCCAGGAAATTTGGAGTTACATAGACTTTGTTTCCTGCATCCTGGTGACTTTGAAAGAAAGTATGACCACACTGAATTAGCACTTTTATGTAAAATACTTTGGTTTAGTTTTGGTTCATTCTCCTTGTACTCCAGCAGAGTACCAGGAGGAGGGAGGGAGGTCGAGCTGTAGGCTCGGCCATTGCCAGGGACCCACAGACAGTTGTCAGCCCTGGCCCACAACTCTGGGTCCTGGATGCCTTTGTGAGGCAGGATGGGAAGCTCACAGTCTCTGGAAAACAGCTGGGGAGGAGGGCAAGCTGAATCCCCCCCAACCCCCGAGGAACACCTCAAATCCTTCTTAGATTAACAGGGTCAGCACAGAGATGAGTTGTCCAGAGAGAGGAGGAAGAACCAACAGGGAGGAAACAGAGGACCTTTAGAATCTCAGGGCTTATAAATGTTGTGCAGTGTCAGAAACAGGCTGTGATAACGATAAGGAAACAAACGACATGAATCAAGAGAAACTGTGATGTCAGGAAGAAGCCTGAGGAGGGCGATGAAAACATGAGTCTCCTGGGAGAAACAGGAAGGTTGGTAAGCGTGGGCGTGCCGACCGCCATCGACTGCAGGTAACACACTACCTGTGGATAAGTGCCTCATCTCATCCCCACTTAAAAACAACCGAACTATCCCTTTACCATCAGGTAGTGTTAGTGTTTCTGTCTGATTACCGATGTGACAGTTGTGGAGCCAGATTCGATGGCCGTCATATTTGCAGTTGCATTTCATGGCGTTGTTGGTGAAGTCGCTCTCGGCCACTTCATGATTTGGATTGATCACAACCTGAAGAGGAGACGGACGTAAAACATTTTTATGATGAGAAAATCACAGACATTAAAAACTGTGAACTCGTGTGATCTGGTCTAAAGCTGCCGTCTCCCTCCGCCTGGTGTTCTCACAGCAGTTTAAATGTTACAACAGGAAACAGACAGGATCAATAAACTGTTTTAATGTGTATTAATGTGCATCAGGAGCTGTGCTGTCAGGTTACACATCATTAAAAAATGACTCCAGTGAGTTGTTTTGACGGTTGTATTGATTTTCTCTGGTCTGATTCCAAGTGTTGTGACAGAGTCTGGCTTCATGTAAACAGGAAGTTCTTCCCTCAGCAACAAATAATACGTCTCTCTCCGAACACTCAGAGGACGAACCAAGTGTTTGCACATCTACATACTGACAGATGTATAGATTTAGAATTTATCTCAGTCTGCAAATAGAAATAAGAACTTCATGTATTAATCTACAAACATGTGTAACTGAACTCACAGCGTCTCACAGAAAATGGCAGATACTTAGATTGCACAGTGCAAACATTTAAGTAATTTAACATGACTTAGACACTTGTGCAGTCTGACAAAGGTTCAGGCTGAAGCTACAGCGTATAACACCGACCCGTTCACAGCTCGTCATATTTAATAATCAACAACAAAACAAACTACAACAGGCAAACAAGGCATAATAGCAACAACAAAAAAAGAAAAACAAATTACAAAAGGCAACTTAAGTTCCTGTCCCCTGTTCTTCTGCGTCAGTATCACAGTCTGAGTCTACTTTTAAAACTTTTGTTTAAACCTGCTTATTGTTCTCCATGTAGTTCCTCTCGACAACTGGTCCATAAACTCACTTCTTTATTTGAGAAAGT